TCTTCAATTTCTAAAAAAAGGTTTTGAAAAATTTATTGGATCAAAAACCTTGGTCGAAAGTTAAAATCCCTAAAATCTTCATTTAGAAGAATCTCTAAGAGATACTCTTATAACATCCGCTTATCACACGTTTGCCCGACTAAACGTTTATCAAGTCACATTACCTTACATGATGAATATGGTAAGAATCAAGAACTTACCCGGTAAGTAAGGACGACAACTTCTACCACGGTAAACATTTACCAGATAAATTATTGCTAACTATGTTGTTTTTGTTAGACTAAAATCTTACACGGTAAGTAAATAATAGTGTTAAATTTTACAGGTAAAAATAGAAGAGAAAACGAACCTAAAATTGTTTTCATACGTAACTTGCCTAATACTTTAAAATACATAATAGCATCCTAAAACAATTAAATTTATGTAACATGTACATACTTCTGGAAAAAAAAAAAATACTAGGTATGTATCTCGTTCTACAAAATGCATGAAAACACTCCTGGTATGTTGAGTATTGAAACTAATTATACATTTGATCAAACTTGTATGGGTACCTACACGTGTTTGATAGGCAGAGTGGATCAAATACTAATAATTGCTTAAACTATTACCAAACGAAACTTAAAAAACAATTATGGACTGCTACACAAGGTTACGATTGTGCCAACATCTGTACTAGGTCTTACAGGATCGTGCAAAGTCATGCACATAAACTACATGGCATGCCACTTCAAGGCACGAATGATAGTGTCACCTGATTGTGCCGTTCTTGAGTCGCCTTGGCACATGGCCATGCTAAGCCATGGCTAACTCTTACATGGGTGTATCAAACACATAAGCCAATATTATGAGTTTTGTTTAGGTTTTGTAATCTCAATGCTCTTAAATTTTGAGCCAAACCGAACCTTCTTTTTAATGTGCGAACCTTAGAAATACATTTATACAACATATTACATGCTTACTTCAACATCAATTTTGGGTTTCATCCTATGTTAAACCCAATGACGATTTTACTCATTTTCTTTCTAAAATGATGGCTTTCAAGCCTTGCATTGGCCATAAACCCTACTGAACTCTTCCATATCATAATATACTACTGACTCAACAACAAACATAAATTTAACAACAAAATCTTACCTTGAATCTCACTGATTTCTTGTTTGCACTTCACTACACATTTCTAAACCACAAATTACACAACCGAAAAGCTATAATGGAAAAGCTTCTATACATGATTGTAAAAATTCGAATTATTTTTTGATATAGTATGCAGATAGGAAAACACCATTGAAGGTCTTGTATCCTCGCTAAATCTCTTTCCGTGACTAAACCTCTAAAAAGTTTATTAAGCTATGCTAAAACGCTCCCACCCTTAACGATGTATTGTATCCTCTAATTCTAGCACGAAATACTTCATTGAGAATCTAAGACCAGGGTCAACGTGGAACCATTGCAAGAAACATACATTTTGTTTACATCCCGACTTTGCTTTCATCTTTTTTCATTTTGACATGTTTTTAAGGCAACTACAAGCGACTTTCCATCATAGTATCCCAGACACTTGCTAACTGAGGGAGTCTCATACGTACAAGACTCATAAAAGGCAAGACTAAGGAATAGAAGTATTAAGTACACACTTCACAAAGAAATGCTATTAGATCAAAATGGATGAGGATACTCTGTTAAAGAAACATGAATATAACCATTACAATTGATATCGAAAGCAAAAAGAACCTTTCAATTGACATAAACATAACATTCTAAAGATTAACCTTCATGGCTCATAGGCCAACTGAACGTGAGATTGCAAAGATGACAATAAATTGCTTGGACACCATTTGAACGGTTTTCTTCAACTAGATATCCCAACCTTCTAACATATGTAAATTGTTCAAAATTATCATGCTTTTTATATTTCTAGATTGACTAGAATACTTTAATGATGAATTTCCCTCTGCCAATTATATTCCCATCATTGCCTTCATTCGGAACATAATTGACTAAGTCATCTTTTTTCTATAAGTCGTAGAAAAAGTAACCCTTCAATACCAAAGTTGAAGTGACCCACAAACAAATTATAATGGTTGAGCATCATGGATCGTAACCTCTACGACTAAGAGTAAACAACAAAAAAGATGATTTGATATTTCGAGTACTTTACCACTGAAACACACATAAAAATGTGACATGTACTTGGTACATGCCATTTTTGACGAAAGTAGATTTGATATAACACCAAATGGAGTTATCACACATAATTAAGAAAAATTCATCTATGGATCATTTATTATGCAAAAATGGTTTAAGACAAAACTTTCTTAAATGTTTATTTTAGATAACCCGTATGTCTTGTGACTACAACTTGTTACCCAACTTTGGCATCTAACTTTAGTAATCTTTGATATTTATACCAATAAAAATATTTTACTTTGATTTTAGTCGAAGACACAACACATCTTTAAAAAAATGTTTGTTATATATCTAACGTCATACATTTCAAGAGAATTAAAATAAAAGCATATTTTTGCCCAACTCAACATCGTCGTGTTTTCATGTCTTTTGCTTATAGCAACAACACAAGCAAATCAGACAACCAACCATAAATTCAGATGGTAAACTATCAGTTCAATTTTCTTGAAACATATGAAAAAAATGTTATATTTTTATCTGATAGATCGAGAATTAATAGCTTCGTCAACCAATAACAAAATAGTAGCAAATTTTGTTTAGAAAAATCTCATAAAAATTTATAATATTTTAGGGATATAATTTCAAGCTAGCAGTGTGACCATTAAAAATTTATTGACGTTAGCCTATTGCACCTGTACGGTCTAAGTTGCTTTCCGTTGTATTTATTTCGGTTTTTAATATTATAAATTTTTAAAAGTATACAAATATCTTATATACATATATATAATTCATATTCAATTTTTGTAGATTTATGCTTATGATTTATATGAAAAAAGAAAAATAATCTTGATATTGACATTTAAAAGTAGTAATAAATAACCATAATAGTTTTGAACAGAAGAAAATAATTAACACAATATATATATATATATATATATATATATATATACCGTATGTATCTGCATGTACCTCTGTTTCTCTCTCATCTAGTGAGAGTTTGAGAGAAAATGGAGTCTCTTCTCTTCTAATCTAGTTCTACCAAACTCTACACCCATGGTGGTCTCCTTGAAATGACCCTTTTGCCATTCATCCTCTCTGTATCCATACATATTTATAATAGTATAATAATGGAGTAATATCACACCCAAAACCTCCTTTTTTTTAACTGAAGTTTGTCTACATATTCTTTCTCTCTCTAAGTTTTCTCGCATCTCCACTGCAATCTTGCACCGTCTCTGTATGTATATCTATTCGATTGTTCGGTTTAATATGTGTATGTGTGTGTGTTTGAATGCTTGTTGAGTGTATTGTTTGATTTATGAATTGTTTGGTTTGGTGATTTTGAATTTGTGCTTGTTGATGTACAGATGGCGATTTTGATCGCTCTTTGACGGGTTTTTGTGTTAAGGGGGAATTCATTGGATTCACGGAATGCGAGTGAAGGAAATGTATCCGCTGTGTTGCATATCGCTGGAGAGTTCGGCGATCGGAGACAACTCACCGGAGCCTATGACGGCGTTGTCGAGATCTTGTTCTGTTGCCGATATGAGATCCGACCCCAATGCCGTTGGATGGCCGTCTTCTGGATCTGATTGCGGCTCCGGAAGTAGCAGTTTCGCCGGCGTCCTCTATAAATGGACAAACTACGGCAAGGGATGGAGATCCAGGTGGTTTATTTTACGCAACGGCGTTCTCTCCTACTCGAAGATCCTCCGGCCAGAGAGCCTCACCGCCGGTGATGACGTTAGGTTCATCGGAGATGTATCTTCTGGACGACTCAAGCGTCTCAATAGTTGTGGCAGCAGACGTAATAAGCATCAGAAAACCGTCGGAATCGTCCATCTAAAGGTAACCAAAACAATTCTTTCAAGAAACCCAAATTAAACAAAAAGGGGAAAACAGTTTTGTTTCAGAGATGAAAATGCAGTTAAACATCTTGTTCTAGGAAAATGTTCCCAATCTTCAGGTGAAACTTTCTTCCCTTAAAACTGCAATAAATTGAATCACAAAATTTAGTCCCATTTTGTATGCCACCAATCATCTCGATATCCGAGCTAAGCTCCATTGATGACAATTTTAATCTTTTGGATAATACATGGGTTTACACAGAATGATTTATGAAATGGGTATTTTGAAACAAAATAAAAAGGACGAAAGGACTGGATCTTGGGGTCATGTCAAGAGGGCCACACCAAGTGGTTATCCAATCCAATGGGTTTATAGCAGGCCTACTCCTTTATCTAGTAGTGTGACACTAGCACCCCATTTTGTGCTTATTTGATCAAAATCTGGACGAGTTTTTGCTTTGTCCTTCCATCTCATACCCTCATTTCATTTCCATCTTGTCTTTTGATGAGTTTTTGCCTGTCCCTTTCATTTGACCCAGTCTATGACTACATGTTTATATAAAATTTTCCAAATGTAAGTCTTTGTCCAATATTTCACCTTTTCCTACTAATTTAAATTTAAATTTCTCGTGGGTTTACTTGTAAGTTGATTCAAATTGATATGATCATTTTAAAGATCACAACTTTTTCTTTAGAACAAGCTCATGGCCAATTAAAGGGTGGAGTTGACTACACAAAGGATATGTTTGGACATTTTCTATCATATTTTAGCCTGATCTGGCGTTCTTGATTGAATTTATGCTGAATTTGGTTGGTGCATTGTTGGTGCATTCTGCTCTGGTATTCTTTTGGTATTTGTTTCAATTTTGTCATTGAAATTACTATTTGTTTCCTAAGGGCTTATTGAACCTTAGAAATTAGAGAAAACCAAGAACAGAAGTTAACCTGAAAATTCTGTTAGTCAAATGTTGCTCATACCTAGTTTTGGAACTAATGTGGTAATTTTAATTTATTGATTCAGATCTCGTCATTTCGAGAGAGCAGATCAGACAGTAGACGGTTTTATATATTCACTGCTACAAAGACGCTTCACCTCAGGACTAGTTTGAAGGAAGAAAGAGTTGCCTGGATAGAAGCTTTGGCCTCTGCCAGAAATCTGTTTTCTCTAAAAAGGTTGAACGATAAGCTATCTGTTGTACCAACTGATTTATCACTGTCCACTGAAAGATTAAAGCAGCGTTTGCTCGAAGAAGGCACCAATGAGGTACTAGTCAAGGACTGCGAGCAGATTATGCTCTCGGAATTTTCAGAAATACAAGGGCAAGTTAGAGTTCTTTGTGAAGAGCGTTCGAGTTTGCTTGACACCTTGAGGCAGCTAGAGGTAAATTTTCTACAAGTTCTGTGGTCAAACTGAAATCAAACTAGTGTAAACTGAAAGGGGTATGTCAAGTTAGAGGTAAATCAAACTAGCTCGATACCTTGAGGCAGCTAGAAGTAAACTTTCTTCAAGTCTGGGGTTAAAACTGAAACCAAACTTGTATAAACTTAGAAGGGTATAATTCAATGTCATATACCGAGTTATCAATAGAAAGAACCTAAATGCTAGATAGCTTTGTTGTGTTAAATTAGACTCAAATTACTTATTGTATTTGTCCTATAGATTTGTCCTGATGATGCCAGATGACTTGTGCCATGCAACCAATACTGTTCTAAGCTCACTCCCCCAACTATTTGAGATTGATTTCCCACCTTTAGCTTGGACCTGTGTTCTAATTAGTTTTCACATGTCATAATCATTCAACAGTCACAGATTTGGTGTCCTTATTGGTGTGTTATAATAGCTGTTTCATTGTCTTTAATTCTTGTTATCTTAATTATGGTCAAAGAGCCACTGATGTAATTTGTGAGTGACTAATTCTTCCTAACATAGTAACTTCAACATTCATCAAGAGCCTAGATGTACCATATTGGATTCTAGTAAACAAGGCTGAATGACCAATAGGGCTACTCCGAACCCCCAATGCTATCTAGAGTGGAGGTGATATCTTATTCTTGCATCTAGTATTTGGTAGCGGGCTGTGTGGATTATTATCCATACCCACAAATAAAGAACTACCTCTTTTTACTATGATTCCACATGCATATACTAATGATACCGTTTGACAATTAGATAAATCTCTAAGATAATCTCCCCCCCCCCCCTCTCTAAAATAATCATCAATCACGGATAATAGAGGGATTGAATATTAAAATCATCTAACTATTAGCCAAAATTCTAAAAATATAGAAGTTTTTGGATGGGCTATTAAACTGATTATCTCAATCTGAAGTCACAATAATTAGTTGAGTGTTTGGGTAAAAAGATTATGATTATGATTCTTTTGATTATTTAGTGTCAAAATAATCAGAATAGGTGTGTAATAAAACTAGTTACTGGGATAGATGTAAACTTAGGACCTGTTTGTTAGCAGGTTAATGGGTTTAATGCGACTCAAGACTTATTCAGTCAGCTATATATAACTGCTTGGTAGTGGCTTAATGATATAGAAAGTGGCTTATTCAATAAGCTTCCAGGGGGGCTTTATACAGAAAGCCATGTTTTTTCCATACCCATCCCTCCCAATTAAAAACATGCTCCTTCCATCTATAAAAAACCCTTCCAAACAAAAACCTTCCCAATCTATATAGACAATTAATCCACATAGACAACTTTATCCATACAGGACTTAATGGAAAACTAACCAAACAGCTCTTCCCTAACTATCTCTAAATTTAAGAAACTAATTATTTGATTATGATTCTTCAAGCTGCAATATTCAACGCATATCCGAGCACCCCCATGGTAATTCATTTTCTTTTGATAAAATCTATTCGAATGTAATCCTCTGAGATGATAAGTGATGAGATGAATGTCATTTCTTATAAGTAATATATTAATCAGTGACTTGTAGTGATTTATGTAGCAAAGCATTAGAGGGTTTCTTAAATTTTCTTCTTTGAGCAAAATTCTCTTTTAATTTTCCATGGAGAGAATACAGAAAAAGTAGGATTATATCCCTGATCAAAATGCTCATACAATTTTAATATCGAATTATTACTGATTCGGTTGGGTTAG